AAAAGTATCGATACTGAAATGTTGTATCCGGATACAATACTCGTTTTTAAAAGTATCGATACAGTGCCGTCACCAGTGGCACCTAAGCAGTCATTCATCTAAAGTGCAGAATAGAGGACAATGCACTTTCAGAACACTGTGTAATTGAATAATTCGGTGCACTTTTCAGTTTCAGACTTTTTTTTGTAAGAGGTGCAGTTTTTTATCAAGCTTGCTTAATATTATGCACTATATATTATGCAATATTAGTATCGTGACAACCCTAATATATATATATATATATATATATATATATATATATATATATATATATATATATACCCGGTAAATATATATATATATATGTGTGTGTGTGTATAAGAATTTCCATGATTGCTCATTTCTATACTAGGATTGCCCTCATTTTGAACTGAAATGATCACATCCTGTTCACCTTGTGACAAACCAGGACCGAGCTGCACAGAAAAGGTGTGTCACCGGTGTGACGTCACGCCTGCTACCTGAGTTTCGGTGAGGAGGAGGGGGGTGGAGGACTGAGGTGAGAGGGAAAAAAACACAGAGATTATCGTCTGCAGCTCTCTGGGATACATTTTTATCCACTCATTGTTTTTCATCGACCTGTCACGTCCAAGTTCACCTTGCGTGGAGTGGGTCTGTGGGGAGTTTGGACCCACACACAGGAAACAGACCAGTTTTTCCCCCCAGCTGCCCAACAAGGAAGAGTTTCCTCCAACTTCCTGCTTTAGTCCAGGTATGTTTCGTCGTTTTTATTTATTTATTTATTTTTTTTTTTTTAAATTAGTGCTTTTTATTTTCTGCCAGGTTATTCCCGCGCTACTATTGCCTTTTTTGACATAAACAATCAGTTTAGAAATAAATCAGTTGAGCAGTGATAATAAGTCAGAGGGAAGCCAGACAGTTTCCAAACGTTTGGAAAATCCGGATTTGCAGGATTTCGGTGAACTTTGTTGTTGCATTGTTTGGTGTAATGGCAGTTTGGAAAATTACACAGTAAACAGGGTGAGCGGGCTGGTTTATCTGTCTGTGTGCTCGCTTTTTAACCCGCTTAATTAATTATTATAATTTTTTTCACCCAGTCAGCCGGGATGGCGGTCACCCCTCGACGCGTGCGCCTCAAGCCGTGGCTGGTGGCCCAGGTGGACAGTGGACGGTACCCAGGGCTGGTTTGGATGGACAGGGAGGCCATGCGCTTTAGGATCCCCTGGAAACACGCAACTAGACACACACCTCAACACGAGGATGAGGACACCATATTTAAGGTTAATTTTTAATTTAGATTAAGCAACAGGAGGTTCTGAGAGGATGCAGCACCCCCTTTACCCCATTAACACATGTTCCACATTTATTCACTGATATTAAGTTATAGGTAAGTGCAAGTTAGTTGGTTGTTTGAAAGCCCTTCCCCCACCTGTTGCTTTGCAAAGCATTTCAGCTGACTCTAAGAAGACCAGTGGTGTCAAAAATACACACATTTGTTACTTAAGTAGAAGTATAGATACTGCAGTTTAAAAACACTCTATAATCAACTTGACCTCTTTACTCAAGTAAAAGTGAAAAAGTATGTGCTCCAAAAAGTACTTAAAGTATAAAAGTATAAAGTAACCTTTAAAAAAGAAACAGCCAGATGTCACTATATGAATTAAAAGCTACATTTTTTGACTATTTCGAAAAAAAAATTTCGACAGGGCCAAGGATGCGGGAGGTCTTGTTGGTTTGGACAATTTGTTTGGACATTTGGACAATTCCATTAGTTTTCACTACATGTGGATGGCGCCAATGATCTCCATTGGATGGCGCACAGGACGTGAAATAAATATTTATAAACATTAAATCAAAGCCAAGAGTAACAAGTAATGCTTGTTTCAAAAATGTAAGAAATGGAGTACAAATGCTTGTGTGAAAATGTAATGAGTAGAAGTCAGAAGTAGGAATAAAAATAAGTAATGGAGTAAGGTATAGATACCTAAAAAGTGTAATTAAGTACAGTAACAAAGTGTTTGCACTTTGTTACCAGACACCTCTGAAGAAGACTCCTGTAAAAGTGATATTTTTGATAAAAGAGAGAGAGAGAGATTTTATTTGTCATTTTGTTTACACAAGTGTAAAATAGTAAAAATGACTGTAAATGTACAGTTCTAACATTTTATATATATATATAATCTCTGCTGTTCTCACTACTCTCCTGACTTTCTTCTCATCTGAGGCTCTGCAGCCTCAGCCACACAGTGATCCTCATCCTCTGCAAAAAGTACATGCGCTTCTGTGCCCAAGAAAAGAACATCATACAATTGCAGAAGTTTATGCAATTATTTGTCATTAAATTCATAATGATTTGTTTCCATCATTTTGGATAGTGTGGCAGTTTTTAGTATATGCACTTTATAAAAAAATAAAAATAAAAAAACTAAACTAAATGGCAGACTAATCCTCCTGAAATCCTGTTGTAGTTTTGTGCAACACGTAAACTCAAAGTTTCACTCTTTGAGTGTCACTCAACAATCTTTAGCTACATTATCTGGCCTCTGTCTTTCAAACCTTTCTGCACGGACTCCTTTGACTTAGGCGACGTTCACAGCTTTCATACATCTGTATGAAAGCTTGGATGGTACAGTGTAATGGATCTAATGTTTCTGGCTGTTCCCTTCAGGCGTGGGCTGTGGAAACTGGGAAGTTTCAGGAGGGAGTTGATGAACCCGATCCCGCCAAGTGGAAAGCCCAGCTTCGATGTGCCCTCAACAAAAGCCGGGAATTTAAACTCGTCTATGACGGCACCAAGGAAGTCCCCATGAATCCCTTAAAGATATACGATGTATGCGATATCCCGCAGCCCAACAGTAACCAGAGTAAGCACAGAGTTCTTTATTTACAGATTTTGTTCTTGATTTCCATCTTTGAGTGTTGATTCTTGTCCATACAGCTCCTTCAGATGCAGGATCCCAAACCCCCTATGATGAGGCAGATTATGGAGAAGAAGATGTTCCAGACACACCAGAGTCTCTTCCTCCGTATCCATCCACTAGTGAGTGTTTATCTCTTTACATGTTGCAAGGATCTATATGGATACCATTAAGATGAAATGAATGATTTCTCTTTTAGGAGCCAGTCCTTCTCCACTCCTTATGTGGTCTCCAATGGGGTCAGAATCATCCATGCAGCCTCCCAGCTGCCCGCCTTCAAAAGAGGTCTGGCCCAAAGAGGAGCCTAATGAAATCTGGCCTAAAGAGGAGCCCGTAGATGTAGAGATGCCCCCCACCAACCTGGATGAACTGCCCCCTGCCCCTCTTCCTGACCCCATCCTGCAGCCGACTCCGCTTCCCGATGCCTTCTTTGCCTCTCCGGAAATGTGGATCAGCTCCCTCCCAAGTTAGTGCTACATTTAATTAACTTAATTCACTTTTTATCCAAGAACAAAATAAATAAATAAAAATAAAAAAACAAAGGAGGCATAAAAATCCTTGTCTGGATCACTTTCAGTAAAATTAATTTTACCATTGGTAGATGACTAACCCATTGTAATATTTAGAAAATTATCATCTGAGGGAATCAGTGGTATGTACTTAACTTTTTTTCTTTAGTATTTTACTCATTAAAATCATTATATACAGTCATATTTGCTAGCCTCTTATTCTATATTATTTGTTTACCTGCCTGTACATTTTCTGTGCTTTTTACCATTTGTGGAATTAAAATATTAAAAACAAAGATCAGATTGTTCACATGTAGATGATAATATACCCACTGCAGAAAACTGCGGCCTTTGTAGAGCCTTGTAGGAAACCAGCTGATACACATAGACTCTGTGACTCTGTGCTCTCAGTCCCTCATTTTATCTTCTCCCTGTTTGGGTTATTAAAAACAGTGGGTCTGCAGCATCATCATGCACCGTTACCTCTAGCTACAATTGTCTCATATTAAGTGACCAAGCATATAAAATACTGTTAAAATATTGTATATGTCAGTGATTCTCGCTCAAAGGGGCAGCTAGTTTGACTTCCTCAGTCTCCAAACTGCAAGCTCTTTATTAGCTGTACAGAATACTTGTAGTAAAAAGAGCTTCTTGAGACCACACTCTAAAAAACAGCCAACCATCACCTGAATGAGTGATAGTGAGGTGAGGTTTGGTTATATAAACCAAATTACGTCTGACCTGCAGTTAAGGATTTCTTGATCTGCTGACAAGAGTATTTGCTGTTTTACAGATATGAAAGCTTTAGTTTTTGCTTTTCTCTCCTTCAATTCAATGTTTCAGATCATCAAACAAATGTAAAAATCAGAAAACGATACCCTTAGTAAATACAAAAGGCATTTTTGAAAGTATTTAGTTTATTTGGGAAAACTTGTATGCAGAAAGGCTCTTTGTGATAAAGTAATCACATTCTCCTAACCCTCAAACAGTTTTAAGAAATGAACCAAAAATCTAATAAATACATCTTTTAACAATTATTTCATTTGCAGCGAGTGGTTACTTATACAGCTGCATTTAAGATGAGGGTTATTTATCAAATGAATGTAGAGATTTGTGTGATAGTCTGTTTAAAACAGGCACATGAGATGTATACCATTTGGGCAGTAATCATCTGAAAAGTAGTGGTTAAAAAACAACCCAGAAATGTTATAATGGTTTAAGTGAAAAACTATTTGAATAATTATCTGAATATATATTTTTAGGTGAACTCACTTTCCTATCAGACTTTCACAGTAACAGGAAATCTAATAAACGGAATTATTCAAAGTACTAGATCCAGACTTTAGCCTCGGGGACAAACATCTAAATATGAGCTGCTTGTAACTTTTTAACAAAACATCAAGATGGGATCGTTAGCTCTATGACATGGTGAAACAGTGCTACGCATCAGAACTCCCACAACCTATGCAGGTATTCAGAGATCAGCTACATAAAAACTGCATTGCAATAAGAGCCACAGGATGGCCAATGCTGCTTCTACTCTGTTATGCATAACGGTGTGGAAATATCACCGCCAGGGATGCTGTTGAAAGATGCGTATCTCTAAGGGTCAACATGAAAACTGATATTTAGGACTTGATACCTTTTCGTATCTCCACTTTAGAAATTAGCTTATAAAGGACCTGAACAATGTTTGTGTTTACAGTAATCTTAGGTGTGAAGAAGAGGCAATGTGTTGCTTTGTGAAGGTTATCAGACACATGCAAAACATGCTGAGCTTTCCCTTCACAGCACGGTCTGTCCTCTATAGAGCCAACTGTCTTGAAGATGAAGCTCATAGGTTCAGGATTTCTAACGTTTCTCCTCTTCTCTGACTCAGTGACAGACTTGGAGGTCCAGTTCCTGTACAGAGGGAAGGAGGTCTGTCCCACCGTGACTGTGAGCAACCCACAGGGCTGCAGGCTGTTCTACGGGGACCTCGGACCCATGGTCAACCAGGAGGAGCTGTTCGGGCCCGTGAACCTGGCACAGTTGCGCTTCCCGACCACAGAGCACATCACCAATGACAAGCAGAGGATCTTCACCAATCGTCTGTTAGATGTGATGGACCGAGGACTGATCCTGGAGGTCAGCGGCCACGATATCTACGCCATTCGTCTCTGCCAGTGCAAGGTGTACTGGTCTGGGCCCTGCGCTCCAAACCCAGCTGCTCCAAATCTCATAGAGCGGCAGAAGAAGGTCAAACTGTTCTGTTTGGAGTCTTTTCTCAGCGGTAAGAAGTATTTCCTTTTTTAAAATGGATTCAAACATCAATCCATCCATTTTTCGTCCTGATCCATGTTCTTCCCTGTCCGTGGGTTTTATACATCGTCAATTTATCTGTTTGACATAAATTCATAGTCTGGTAGATGTACATATGTGCTACAAAAAAGCTGCAAAATTGAGTTTAAATCTTAAAAACCTGTGCAACCAATTATTTAGATCACAATCCTAATTATAGGGGTTTTGTTTTATTAAAATTTTTTTATATGCAGGTGTGGTATCTCAACAGCGTGGCCAGGGATCCAACCCTCCTCAGTTTGAGATTAGTCTCTGCTTTGGGGAGGAGTGGCCTGATGGAAGACCCAAAGAGCGCAAACTCATCATGGTTCAGGTGGGAACTATTATTGTTTTAATACTCTCCAAAACTGAGGATATAGTGTGGTATTTGTGTTGTTTGTTTGTTTGTTTTTACTTTTTTAAAGCAAAAAGGAAAATGATGCTTAAGCATTTAGAAAGTATTATGATTAATAATCAAATAACGGCTTTTCTTTAACTTTATTAAAGGCTTAATTACTCCTAACCTCTCCCATCGACAGTTCTTTTAAGAATAAAGTTAACGAGAACTTCTTCCTTTGTAGAGTCTTCCTGCTTGGTCTGCCAGAGACGTCAGATCTCTAATCTAGGAATTACCTCTAAAATAGAATATGTTTGTTCTGGTTGTGAGAAGAAAAAAACAGTAGGATCTGTTTTATCAGGCTAACTGGTTAGAACATCTCCAATTTATGCATTCAAACCAGCTTTTTATGGCACTGGTTCCATTGGATACACATTGGAGTCAGAAGTGCTAACTGTGTTATTTTATTTGTATATTGGACATATTGGTTACCAAACCAGGCATTGAAATCTCAGAATTTGCTAGGCTGACATTTTGTTTTATTGTCTGACTATAACTATAAACTTTCTCATTTTGGGGAACCCAGTCTGCACCCTATTTAGAGAGAGAGAACTTTGAGGATTTTTATTTTTTAATTTTTCATGATTTCTGAGTCAACTCTGCCAGAAATTTTGGACTGATTTTGACTATTTTTTATGTTCCTTTTTTGGATAAGCATATAAGATTTCTATTGAAAATCTTCTGATATTGTAAAGAGTATATGAGGACATGCAATCTACTTCCTTTAAATGACTTTTTGCCTTTTTAAAGAGCTGCTTTTTAGCTTTTTTCTCACTAAAAAGTGTCAATAGTGAGCTTTGGGAATGTTTTCTTTAATTCCTTTAGCATCCTCCTCACTGTGCAAGGTTGCTAGGTAACCCAGCCTTGTTTCTCACAGTGACAGAAGTTTGAAACGTTTCCCCAATGCCAATGACTTTTGATATGTACAGATTATATAGAGCAGCTATCTTATGGAGGCGATGTTTAAAATTTAAGATGGATCAACATCAATGGGTTTTTTGTTTTTTTTCCATTTTGAAGAGGGGCTAGCTACAATAGGCTTCCGTGTCGTTGTTATACCCCAGTAAAAATTGTAAAATTGTTCTCAAGTTTAATCAACTTATAAAGGCACAGAAAAAATATATACATGTTGTACTATTTATAAGGTTACTTGGATTAGATCTTGTGTTTTATAGTATTTTTCCATAATTTTGAAAAAAGGAAAAAATATTAAAATATAGTTAAGATATTGTCTCCTAACCAGATCAAAAAGTTTTGACCAAAACAGTGTAGTTTAACCAAAACGGATAAAAGTTGAAGATTAAAAATGAAAAAGGCTTTAATCTAATTGTTGCTTTCATTTGATTGTAAACATGATTCTTATTTTGTAGCCCAGCAATATAAATAGAGAAGGAAAAATTTATATTACAAATGACGTTACAGAGATGAATGCATGTTTTGTAAATTGGGGTTTTTGAGATCGTCAGCTTCTTTCTTTTTTTGTTTTTTCAGGTCATTCCTGTGGTAGCTCGGATGATAAGTGAGATGTTTTCCGGAGACAACAACCTTTCATTTGACAGCAGCAGTGTCCGCCTGCAGATTTCAATCCCAGATATCAAAGACAATATAGTGACCCACTTAAAGCAGTTGTACTGCCTATTGCAGAACCACCAGGGCCAGGAAGGGTGGGCTCTTCCCCCCAACTCAGGCCTGAACATTGCCCATGCTCTGCAGACTCAGTAAAGCTGTGAACCAACTAGTATACATATATCTTTACAATACTCTCTACTGCAGGGGTCTGCCTCTCTGTTATCAAAGAAGTACTTGTGTGTAATCCTGGTTAGAAGTATGCACTCTATGATCTCTATGCATTTAAGCTTTTACTGGTATATCTGTGTTATACAGTAGTTTGTGATATAGAAATTGCATGCCTGAAATCCTACATGAGGCTGTGCAGAAGCTAGAGATAGTTGGTGATTTTGCAGGCCAAAGTCCATCTTGCTGGGGAGAAATATTTATCTTTGTTAATCAGTTACAGGTATCGACAGTTGTTTTTATCTACATCCAGTATGTGATCGTTTGACTGTCCCAGACACTTGCGGTTCGAAAAGGGATCTTATTTGCTTTTCTATCATTAAACTTTATAGGAAATTATATCTAGGCGTTGTATATATTAAATAAAAATATTGGTAAGTGTGAATTGAGATGGACATGAATACAGATTATTTTCCAGTTCATGCAGGAATGTTTGTTCCAGTTGGCCCAACAATATAAACCTTTGAATTTTGATAAACATTTGAATTAGATCAATGATGTTTGCTTTAAGCCTTTTTTTTCTCCATATGAAATGTAAGATATTTTTGCACATTTTTGTTTAGCAGTAGATTGTTTCCAGAAAACATTTTACTGACAACAATTAAGATAACTAGATTTTTTTGTTGTTGCTTTTGTTGAGTTCCTCTGTACATTAAGGTTCTGAAATGTTTTATGGTTTGCTGAATACATTAATCTTTGCATGTTTATTTTATCAATAAAATGCATTTAAACACCTTTTTAAGATTACAGCTACTTTAAATTCACAAACTGAGATGTGAGTTATTAAAAGTATTTAATCAGGATATCTTTTGAGTATTGGTGTGGTGATGCAACTTTTGCAGGGGTTTCCAGAGTGTAATCTCTAACAGGTGTGCTAATTTAACACAGCTGGTTTCACTGTACATGATGTAATGTTTAAACCCAGAACCAACAGCAGAGCAGATTAAACTGAAATCAAAAGTCAAAGAAGGGCTTTAACCGTTAATAGGAGGAAGATGCATCCTGTGGCTGTAAAATAGTTTTGATCTAACCTCAAAGAAAACCAGTTATCAGTTTCATATAAAAAATAAATACATTTGAGAGGTAACAGCAGCGAAGTAGTAACCCAAGGTTTTAAAACGGTGTACACTGTTTGGCTTCTCTATGGTTTGGCCAAGTAATCTTGAATAGCTTTTATAGCTTTATTTCTTTTTACTGCGTGTCTTTAGTTTCCATTTAGCCTCTGAAGGGAGGTGGCTGATTCAGCAAACACAGTTTGGTTTCCAGTTTTCTAAAAATAAACATCAGTTGTGTTGTCTCTCTCATGCCGTAGTCATGTCCAGGGCCCCTGTAGAACTGGTCTTGGCCCCTGTTATGGCCCCTCTGCTAAAGGCATAATGCTAAACGGGATTCTAAAGATCATAAACTGGAACAGGGATGGTGACTGATGTGTCCTTTGGACCCATTTCAACTTTGTTTTAATCATGATTTGAAAATGAAGGCTGTAGCTTCAGTTGTACTGCTATCACTAAATGCTGTTTAGAACCAAATGGAAACAATATCCTAATTTGTTAGTTTTTCAGGTTTACTTAAGTTCAAATTATTATTCAATTAAAATTTTTTTTTTCATTTAGATTTGTCCAAAATATTACACTAACCTGATATTCGAGGAAATACCATTATTTTATCTTTTAGTAGATATTCTTTAAGCAACTAATTTCCTATGCTAATTTCCTAATTATTTCCCATAATAGGGAATTTTTAATTTTAGGTGTAGTAAAATTAACAATTTAAAGTCAAAGATACACATTTTAAATTGCAACAATTTTTTTT